ACCTGGGCTGATAATTGTAAATCTGGCCTCAGAAAACAACTTTTCTCAACAAAAAAAATTACAGACACACATCTTTACATTTCAACATTTTAACATTGACTATATGTCCCATCAAATTCTAACACTGGCAGTTTGTAAAGGAAAGGCCCTAAGTAAGTCAAGGATGAGGAGGGAAAAGTGACAGGAGGAAGAGAAAGAAACTGGTAAATTTTAAAAGCAACTGAGAAAGTGGGACAGCAGAGGATTAACCAGGACTGTCCCTGCCAAATTGAGATTGTTGGAGCATATGCCATTATATGCTCAGATACAATGCAGAAGCCAGTCACTCTATTGTGAACCCTTTTGAATCCAGGATTGGAAGAAAGGGATGATATAAAATAGTTAAATAACGCTCAAAGTCATCTACCTTATAAGATTGCTGTGAGGATAAAAATGGACAGATGAGTCATGTACACCACCACAAACTCATTGGAAGAAAGATGGGATACAAATCTGAAAAATAAAGTGACCGACATATGGCAGTATCACACAAAGGGAGAAATGCAGCTGGGACATGGTTTCAATTGTTCAAAGATCATATTAAACCATCTGATTAAAACAAGAAACAAACATGTACGGTAATATCTTTTCAGTAATTAATCAATTCAAAATCACAAAGGTGGAGAATTAAAAACAAACATTATGTCCGTCACAAATTTGCATTCATGTTCAGTGTGCATTCTTATCAGAGGTCCAACATATTTGACCACACATTGTTTTCACAGCTGTGTGTTTCAGGTTCACATAGTTTTGTTCACCACGCTGCTTGGGTGTGGTGTTTTTCTCTCATTTATTTTTATTTTCTTAGCCCCCTTATCTTCACTGAAGTTATATTTGTCAAAGAGAAAATAGAACTATTAACTTTTTCTTTTTATCAAGTTCTTTAGTGTGGGGCTACATTTTGCTTTAACTTTCAATAGCTCTGGCCAGCTTACCATGTTTTTATAATAAGCAAAACCCTGAATATTTTCTACAGCCCTCCTGAAGGTCATGAAGTGGAGCTTCTTTTAGCAAATATGGCGTGGATGTTTGAAGGTGTTGGTCAATGAAAACCAGATGCTAATATTTCTATTTCTTTTAAAGAGTTTGTTGTTTGTGTGCCTCCAAGTCATTTTTTACTTATGGTGATCCTAAGGTGAACCTATCATAGGGTTTTCTTGCCAAGTTTCTTCAGAGGGGTTTGTCATTGCCATCCTCTGAGGCTGAGAGAGTGTGATTTGCCCAAGTGGAGAACTGAACCCTGGTCTCCAGAGTAGTAGTCCAATGCTCAAACCTCCATACCAAGCTGGCTCTCTCTATTAAAGGATACGTAAAGTCTAACCAAAAAAGTAAAGGCTGAAGAGCAACCAACCCAAGTTGCTCCGTTTTATGAGTGGATTTCTGGCATCACTATATGACTGGGCCTTTGGGTCTACTTCCCACTCTATAGAATTTATCACATGGGAGAAAATTAGGAATTTAAACAATAATTAACCTGTGAAAATTGCACAACTGATATTATAACGTGATTAAAATGAGACTAACACATGAGCCATTGTCCTGTGAATAACCAGAGAATAACCAGGCAATAAACAGCAAAAAGTCATTCACGGGGAAATCCCGTGAATGATTTGCTGCTGTTTCTTGCCTGATTATTCATGGGATAATGTCACTTTAATCATGTTTCATCTCAAAGTTGTATGAAAACCATTAGCGCAATTGTGAGATTATCACTGGTTCTTCATGGGATAATAGCACTTTGAACACGACTGCATGAAAACCATTAGCACAATTGTGGGATTATCATGGGTTAATCACCATTTATACTTCCAATTGTCCCCCGTGTGATAAACTGTAGATTCCATTATGCTAACTGTATATACTCTACCACGGGCGTGGGAGCAATGCAACTCTTCAGTTGTTGAACTGCAGCCCTAGCCAGCATAGCCAAAGCTGAATAATGCTGGGAATTGCAGTGTAACAACCAGGGTCCTTCTATACTGTGTATATTAAAAATGCAGCTGTAAAAGTAGAAGAATCTTCTATTTTCATACCTGGAGACCATAACAATTTTGAAGGAATGTGCTATGTCCCAGTCTCCTTCTGGATAACAAAAATAATAATATTTGTTCTCCCCCCCCCCCATGGAGGTTCCCTAATGGTGAAGCTTGTTTTTTTTGTGCCAGACTATTTCTGAGTAATAAACATTACACTGACCACCTTAGATGATTTAATTACATTTCTGTTTCCATCACTGTTAACCCATATCCTTGCAGAAAGAGGAATTCTATGCGGTGTCTCAGACATCTCTACAAGTCCATGGCGAAACCAGTGCCTTGATAAAAGCATCAGAGGTCCCTGCTACCTGCTGTATTCAAGTAATGAATTATGCACCTGTCCCAGACCTGGGGTAGGAATTATGCACCTGTCCCAGATGTTGCTGAAGTGCAGCTCCCATCAGCCCTACCAGTTGCATTCCAACAACATCTGGAGACTTTAATACAACACAAGGCCTCTGCAGACTGGTCCAAAGGGCCAGCCGAAGGCAGAGATAGGGTGAGGCAGCCACATGCCGGCTGTCCCAACCCCACACCAGTGGCGTCCTGATGCCGCGTGCTGTTACGCATGGTGCGTGGCTTCAGAACGCCCTTTCAGCACAGCGTTCAAACACACTGCACTGAAAAGGGTGAAGAAGAGCCGCGCGCTGGCTCTTAGGGCAGCCTTTTGGCACCCCTGGAAGGAGTGGCATTTTGCTACTCTTTTCGGGGCAGCAAAAGGGAGGATCAGGGCCACGGTGTGGGGTTGCTGTGGCCCTGATCCACTGCTTCCCAAGGCGGCCCAGAGCTGCCCGTCTGCAGCCCCCCACAGTTATAACACTTTTAGAATCCTGGGGTCTGTAGTCTGGTGAGGTACTAGAGTTCTCCAGATAAGAATTCAAAATGCATCTCCCTAAACTGCAAATTCCAGAATTCCAGAGAAGGGAATCATGGCAGTTATAGTGGAATCATAGTGAGATAATCATATAATGTAAAAGGTCCCAAGGGACACATCATTCCAATTCCAGAGTAAAGCATGGAAATAAAGAGTACCAGGAGAAATCCAACTTGGGTTTTAGTAATTTTTTATATCAAAATAAAATTTTATACCAGTCTTCAGTACAGGAAACTCAATAAATTAGCTTAGTGTACACCTAAAAAAATTAAGGTGTCACTAACGAGACTATGCAAGGGAAATGAGTACTAGATTCAATTGATCCCAATCAGTCATTACACCCATGCTGCCTATACTTATACTATAATATAAAGTAACATACAGGGGTAGCTGTGTTGGTCATTTAGCAAATTCAAACAAATATCCACCAAACAGTGATACCTTTATTGGCCAACCAAAATGCACAATACATTTGCCCCTCCGTTCTTGTGGACTTGAAGTTCGCATTTTTGCATATTCACAGAGGGGTGACCTCAGTTATAATTAATGGGG